TAGATAGATAGATAGATAGAAGGAGAGAGAGAGAGAACAGTGGTTACTGCTGTGCAGTAAACTAGGTCATATTGAGAAGTGTTATAAATAATGGAAGGGAGCTCTTCATTGTAGATGCTCAGCCCCCACGCACTTCATCGCTAAACACTCCACACAAGCATTATCACCCTGCTCACCCGTGGCTACATCAGCTCCACTTAAATGATCAACAGTAATAGTAAAATGACCAGAAAAAAATGGCGAGATACCTGACACCTAGATGAAAGACTATAGCTGTACTGCAGCAGAATCGTCTCATCAAGGTACAGAAGATAAACCTTGTTGCATTTCCTGACTAACAAGACAAGAAGCAGGGAGAGGGAAAGGGAAAGAACGAGGGAGAGTTAGAGACGTAGGAGGATATCCCTCAGTAATTATCTCCCAGGAGGGGGGCGAGGGAGAGAGTTGTGCATCTCTGCTCTCAGATGTTAGGAAGACTAAACAAGACAACAAAACAAGCAGTGAGAAACTTTATAGTTTGGAGAGGCAAAAGACTGTAATGGAGACCTTGAAGGATAAGGAAGGAGGAGAGCAAGAGCAAATAAGATAGGGAGGTGGGGAACTAAGATAAAGAGCGGGACAAATAATAATAAAAGTAAATGTGAGTAAGTATGAGAAATGAAAGTGAAGGACTTATTTTATAGCTTTGATTGCACCATGAGAGCTCTCATAAAAGTGTGAATAAAGAACAAAAATGTTCCCCCTTACAGTCTTCCAGAAACACTTAGTCCTCACACTATCACATACATAATCTGTATTGATAAATAAAACTGGTAAATAATGGAAATGAGAGAGAGAAACAGAGGCGATGTGTGCTTTCATCCAATGGTTTGCATGTTAATACAGCCTCTTTATGAGCACTGTGACTCTCCAAGGCTTATAAGCCTCCCTGTGATCCACCCGCATTCTGCTTACCAATGCATGCTAATTTCCCATGCTTCACGTCTGAGAAAACCGGACCTCCTCCATATGGCCAGAGACTGTATTCACTTTGGGGCTTTAATTAAAATAGCCTTTCGAATGTTACTGCAAAAATGCCTTGCCTTCTGACAAACTCCCCCTCTCTCTGCGATAAAAAGGTCAAAAATGTGTTCCTCCGACCATAAAAATGATGATTAAAATGATACACGGAGAGTTGTGTTTGTCAGGGCTGAAAGCTGTTTGACACTGATGTACTGAATCATCTGTAACTAACAATAATCCTGTACTCTGACACAAATGATGATTACATCAAGAATGGGTGTATGTGGGGGGTCATACAGTGTCCCCCAACATGGAGTCAATTTAATAAATTAAAAGATTGCTGTCTGGGCACAATTAAACTTTAATTAGACGCAGATAGGTGGGTGGAGGGTTATTATAAGCCCCTTAGTAGGGCTGTGAATTGGGCGCTTGTTTATGAGCCTTTAGTTATGAATGGATCCGTCTACTTGGGTGAGTCATAACAGCCTGCGCATTTATCGTAGGTCCTTCTCTGAACTTGTGAGTGCTCATACATCTGCCGAGGCACTGAGTTGTGTTCAAGTTGTACTGAACGAGAATGGCTGTTAGTTTTTTTAAACAATGGCACTGAATTTACTTGACTTTGCACATTAAAAAAACAAAAAATAATGCAGCATCCACGCCATTTATCTGGTCTATTTCAAAATGTTCTCCCGTCTCTCTCTCGCAGTGAAGCGGCTCCCTTATCAATAAATGTAAGTTGCAACCCGACACACCCTGTCCTTCAAGGATTTTATGAGTATTTTGAGAAAGAAAAAGTTTGATGGGCAGTTTGTGAATTCTAGCTCATGCCAGCCATTAATCATAGCGGTCTGGTTATGAGACCGCCATCACAAACTCTCCCAGCAGAGGTTTGTGTCTACCGTAGCCCTCCCATCCTCTTGTTTCTTCCGTAACACTATCTTCAACAGGATTAGGAACCATGAAACTTGGAGGTTATATAACCATGCCAACTAGGGATATCTTCATGTCTCTATATCTATGCCTATGCCCCCACCCCATTTCTCTCATGCTCTAGCTCTCACGCACACACTCTCTCTCCCACTGCAACTCATCTCCACAAACATGCTCCAGAAACATGTCTTCATCCTCAACAGCTACCACTTAATGCTTTCTCCAACTGACATCTGTGACTGTGTCCACCCCCGCCCCTGCATCTGCTACCCACACTAGCCTATATGCTTCTCATATCTTACACTGCAAATAAAACATCCGTCTTCACAATATTTACTCCCCCACTGAGTCTTGAGATGTGTTTTTTTTTAAATACCCGAAGGATGCGGTGCTAATGTGGTGAGATAATTCTACTTTTTTAAAGGGAAGTGCAGGACTTCTATAATCATTCAGTACATTTGGCTGAAAAATTACACTTTATTCAAATTCCTGAAACAAGTGAAAGCATTTCACAGCTCAGATTGCATTAATATAAAAAGGATGTTTTTGCGGTGTAGTATCCTTTCATGACAGTGAGAATCCTGAATAGAATTCAGGATGAGAGTTGAACAAAGCAACATCATCTACATCAAAAGACAAAGAAATTCAGAGGAATCTCTGTTTGTAGCTGCTACATAACGAGCCTCCGATAGTAGCCGGTAAAAGAAGAGAACCAATTTTAAAAAGGGCTGAGCACTGAACTTGATGTCAAATTAAATGTAAAACATGCACAGTGCTGCTTCAACAACAAAGGGGGGGAATAAGTGCTGCACAGCAACACAAAGGCACATCTAAAGAGTTCTCGAATAGAGCAGAGATGAAAGGGTTTGGAAGGGCTGAGTCTTTGCTGCAGTGGGATATTAAAAGAGACAACAAACTGAACAAAACACAACACTTGTAAATGAACAAATACACATGCTTGTAACACACACACACACAACCTAACAAGTGCGCCTGGTGCAAGGGGTTGTGCCTTACCGAGCTGTAGAGCATGCCCTCGCCATTCATACCAATGTAGAAGCCACTCTTCACTCCCTGGATGGCCACCACTCTCAGACCCACAGGAATAAGATTAAACAGGGCTGCAGAGTGGACAGAGTGAGGGAGAGGGAGGGAGAGCGGGTCAGACAGATACAAAGAGGCAGAGAAAAAGGAGAGACATCAGACAGAAAGGACAGAATAGGACAATTGAGTTTTCACTTAACTCTTGTAGACACGACAGCCTCGGATGTCTGTTCTTTGGCTATCTGTCAGCAGTAAAGTGAACAGCACAGGACATGGACAACGGGAACACTGACGCACGTCAGCGTGACAGTGAAACATTAACGATAAATCATTAAAGTCATAATCATTAAATCATTAAAGTAGCATAGGATGACCTATAAGATGAGATTTTGCAAAGTAAAGTAATTTCACTACTTTTTGTATACAAAAGCTCTGGCTTGAACTGACGTAACTGGCATTAGCGAGCTGCTATTCCAAGAGAAACAAGCCTTGTGCCAATCTTAAAGACCCTGGTTCAAAACCGTAAAAAGTACATTTCTCTAACATATAATAATCATGATTAAATAATTAACTATGAAAATTTTAGTTCAGAAAAATAACTTTGGTTTGATCAGATTTAGTGGCCCGGCAAAAAAATCTGCAAACAACCCCTTTAGCTCTGACAAAACAGCACAGACAGAAATCTCTCATGTGAAATATCCAAAACGGTTGTAACTTTGGCAGAAGACGTGTTCATATGGTGGAAAATCTGTTTCCGGCGCCTTTAATATCTAATAGCACCATGCAGATACCACATTATGATATTTTAAACAAAATTAATGAATTACAGCTTTGTGCTACAACATGTAGAGCCGAGTAGAACCAGAGATCTTTCATTTATCCAGGTTGTAAAAAAAATCTGAAATTAGTATGTCAGACGCCACTAGCTGCTGTCGTTGGTCTCAAGATGTTTGGCATCTTAGAGGATTTATAGATTCTGTTCACAACAAGTCTTATTTTATTCCACTTAATGGTCCTATAAATGAATTAGTTAACTCTGTTCCATTGAATCTGAGGACTGAGCTGTGACTTTTATGGGCTGCGGTTCGGTGAAGGTGTGAGGACACTTTACATTCTGCAGGCTCCCTGTATTGTTGGGATGATTGTTCTGCAAGTGGTGATGGGGACTATCAGATAAAGCTGGTGGGGGCGAGAGGAGACGTGCCAACACGGGTCTGTCCTCCAAGCAGATTCAATTTCACTCAATAAATATCGACATGCTGCTTTCGCCTGCCAATGGTCTAACTCTGCCCTCAGGCCACTGTTACGGGTGATACACACTGGCCGCTCTTGCACTTACGTATACCCTTGAGGGACGGTTGTTTGGGCGTATAACTGCAGAATGTCAGTCCATTAGTACCTTGAATTTTGTTTTCTCAGGCTTCTCATTCTCTTTATTTTTATCACTTATTTGTTTCTGATTCTCGGTCATAACTCGTGACTCATAACGTTCCCTTGCTCTTCTTTCCATTTGCCTTTCATGGCTGCTGCCTTTGACGCCCCAATGACTGGCAGTGTCTCTCAGAGGCACTGTCCACAGTTCTGTCACGTATCACTAAAACCCAGGAGTGTTCCACCCCAGAGCACCACCACCTATCAAAACACATTCTACCCTTTTCTGAGCAGTCATACTTGCAATAGGGCCCTAAAAAAGTCACCACAATAGCGTGGCTTGAAAAGTGGGAGGAAAAGAAACAGACAATATGGCTTGCTTGTACATTATTTTGCTATAATTATGTTCTGCCCGTCCCTGTTCTCATTTGCTTGGCAAAATATTACACAACTGACCGGCCCTGTCATTCAGCTACTTTCTAAATGTTCTGCTTTTCTATTTTGCATCTACAGCAGTTGATGGATTCCATAATTACAGCTGCACTGACTGCTGTTAGAGTACCTGATGACTGTTCTGAAGGCGATTCCTCTTCCTTAATAACCTCAATCCAAATCTCTCACGACTGGGCTGGTGCAGGGACAGAGCTAAGAGATTTCCAGGGATCTTTTATCCTCAAAGGGCCAGACAAAATGGGCTCAAACAACCCAATAAAGCAAAAATCCTTGAAACGGCGAGTCTTCCAGTAGAGCAGTAATCGGCTACAAGCAAATCCTGCAGGTAGGCTAAAGGAAGTACATTTGATGTGAGGGATACAGGCGCAGCAGGAAATAAGCCCTGCAGGAAAGGTTTAGAGAAATACCGAGCCAAACTCCAAATGCCAAGGGCATGCCTCCAAATCCAGAGAGAAATGCAAATCCAAAGATGGGAGCGCTGGTATATAGTGTACAGTCTGTGTTCTCAAATACAATGTTTAATAGACTTAGTCTTTAATTCAATTTTGGTGAAACTCCTTCTCCCTGCCAGAGTTGATAAAGTACTTGACATTAGTGACTTGGTCTTCAGCTAATAAAAAAAGTCTTGCTTCATCCCATCCATCAACCCGGAGCATCAGAGACCGGTGGAGTGTGAACACCAGAAACCGCAGGTGTCTCATAACCAGCAATATCTTTTTGGAGCTTCAGAGTGTGCAGGTAATTACTTCAGGCAATCAACTGATGACAATCAAATTAAGAGCTGCTCAAATTTGAACATGTGTGTTAATTAATAGAATGGTGTTTCATAGCCCTTGCAGTTAGTTAAGCGTAGCTCTGCCAGTCAGCCTGGTTTACCACAAAAACACGCTAACGTACTGCAGCAACAATCTGTTCTATTACTTCTCGCAATTTACTGAATATATTGGGTCTCAAAATTCTGAAGCCTATGATTTTAATAAAGCCGACTTATTTTGTATGCATTTCTCTTGCATGAAATATTTTGCTGTTCATTTGTGTCCTTGTCTCAGCACTTGTTGTCATTCAGCACAGTAATACAGCAAATAATAAAATATGGAATTGAAAACGCACTCTGGGCTCAGGTCGCACCTAGTATGCAGGCGACATCATGCTCCTCAATCCCATCGGTTTCACTGAACCTCCCCCTGAATATAAATTACTGTATTCCATCTGCTGCTGCTGAGGATGCTGCAGGTCGGAGGGTGGCGCGGTTCAAGGGGTAATCTATTATTCTAATAATCTAGCCGGGCAATCAATAGATCAGTGCAAAAGCTGAATACCAAATCTACTATGTCCATTTCTATTTCTCTCTTAATCACTGTCTCTTTGTCTTTCACGCTTTTTGTCTCCATCTTTCAACTCAAAACACTTCGCTCCTGCTCCCCTCTGCTCTCTTTCTGTCTTCCTTCGGACTGTCTCTGAGCTTGAGGCATCTCATATAGAGAATTATTCATTGGGTACAAATGGAGAAGGGGGTATTTTTAGTTTCCTGTGGCTGAATTATTCACTGCATTTCTCCATCCCTGGGCAAGCGGGACTGCTTAACAAGAGGATTACCTAGAGGTGGGGAAACCCTCACATACAACAAAAACCTCATCAGCCAAAAACCCTTGGACACAATGGAGGCTCCAAAACAAAAGCAGCAACACATTTTTAACTTTCTTCCTTATTCTCTTGTTGTGAAGACCCCTCATTTACACTATAAGTAGTTCTCACTGAAGATCTATCCCCATCATAAAATATTAAATGATGAGTGACAGGGAGAAACCGTTCTTTTCACCGCATGACTGCTACGGTCCAGCAACTTTGGCTTCGGCTTCATTTAAGATTGGCAAGATGTTTTAGAGAAGAATGATTGGTTTCCTGTCTGGCTTCACTCCAGACTAGGAGTGTCGTCATTATCGCTTTGGCGACCATTCTCCGTTGACATATATTTCTTCCTTGATCCTTCACTTCCCCTAGGAAACTGTTACAAAAGCCTATACATTTTAATATAGAAGGCTGTCTACAGACTCTGCTGATTTCTGTTCTTGTGAGAGAGGAAGGGACTATACCCTGGAGACTATTTATCCACTGGTAGTCCACTATGGAATGTCGATCGGTGGTGAAACATTGCAAAGAAGTGGCTCACGCAGGGATCTCCATGACAAGGAGGGAAGCTGTGGGGCTACGGTTGTTTTAGGTAATGAGTTTTTCCTGGAAGAGAATTTCTTGCTGTAATATTAACCCCACACACTTCAGAGCTGAATCAATCAAAACAATGTGACACTTGCAATCATGCAGTGTACACAGCAGAAATGGTTTACTTAGAGAGACCAGGGCAGGGATATTGGAATTAATTTCACTTATGGATAGAAATGTTGATGCAAGATGCTCCATAAATATTGTATTTACTTACTGTGAAAGGTATATTTTGAGGAGACTGGGTAGGAATTCATAAACCATCTGAGGATGTTTTGACACATTTATGTCTACAGTTATATCTCATGCATACTATTGCATAACCAGATGTAGAAAAGAGGGCATTCTGCCTTGCGGAGTAGTTCCCTTTAAAATTGTAGTTTTTTTGTAGCGATAATCCAATTCAACAAGGGCATCTTAAACTGATTTTGGAGTTCTTTAGACTGGCATCAGTTATACAGGAATTAAAAATGATTAAGCACTGCATATAAAATGTGGTAATATATTATATAACCAAGTGACTCATTGCCATTAAATGTTTTATGCTGGAAGCTGCAGCTTCCACAATGCTCCACTCACTGTTGTCGCTGTTCTCGTCCTTGCTGCCGTCAATGGTTCCATCCGGCTGCATCTGCAGGTAGAAGCCCTGCTGGCTGAACAGTCGTGTCACGATGCCTTTCAGCTGCGGCTCTGAAACACACACACATACACACACATACACACAACACACACGCGTACACACAAATTGTCGACCAAACCACAGCCCCAACCCCACCAAGAACATGTCAGAGCAACCTCCTCATAATTGTAAACAAAACACACAAAAGAGCTGATGCGTCTGCCTTCAGCTACGTGTTTGCACACTCACAGCTGTTCTTAACAAGCATTTTAAAATGCTGAAATGTTATACAAACAAATGTTTCACGAACCAAAAATGCACGGTGTTTAATTAATTAAAAAAAGAGTCGGCTGTGGAAGATGGAGTGTACCAGCACAACAATTATAGACTTTTCACCCTTTAAATTGCATTTACTGGTGTGTTTTCCTGTCAGATATTTTAAAGCCTATAAAAGTTTTTTTGCATTGCAGAATTTAAATACAAAATTAATTCATAACTTTATGAAGGGAATCTCTAAATAGGTGAATTAAATACTCAGTTATAATCATCAATTAAAAAAATTACACTCTGAAACAGTCTTATTGTTCTTGTGGCACAATCTAGCCTCCGCAGATCTCTGCTAACAAAAATAAACTCAAACTTACAGCACTAGAACCACTTCAGTCCAGCTGAATATCAATATGACTATGATGGACAGTTTATAACAAGGCATCTGTTGTACCAAATAATCCCCAAAATAGGGTAAACAGCTGTTTGATTGGAAGGCCTTTACAATGGGAACACCATGACAGAAAATCAAGTACTTTCTCATAATGTTTTACTGTGTCTAATACAGAAAATGAACGATTTGCATCATTTGGAAACCCTTTTAAAATCACTTTGTAATGTACACTGACATGCCAATGGTTTCTTTATTTGGTATGAAGCAACTGTGCATATTTGGGTTGATATCACTGATATTCAATGACATTTACTCTTTACAGGCAACAGGTTCACCTCAAAGGATTCCAGTGCTTTTTATTGACCTAAAGGAACCTGACCTAAGTTTTGTAGTTTCTTTTTTTTTTCATTGCAATAACCCTGAACCGACCTCCAACTTTGAGGCTGTGACATCTGGCGCTGGGCCACAGCACTGCTCGAAGCGCTCAACACTTCAGGGGAGCAGGTGGAAATGAGGATTAGCTCGGGGCGAAGAAAGCCTCTTGGCCTCAGGCAATGCCAGGAAAAGAAATGTGTGGAAAAACTGTGTTTGTCTGAGAGAAAATGTGCGTGCTGTCTCAACGGCCTGGCTAATGTCTGGCAAGTCTTTTGATTTTGTGTAGAAACGGTAGCCAGAGTCAGATGACACCATTAGCATAAACAAGACTCTGGTTGTGGCTTGTGACAAGGAAAAGCTGGAGAGGTGAAGCTTTAAGATTTATGACACTCATTTTGAGTGCACATAAAAGAAGAGATAGTGTGTATGTGACTAATACAGTCATATTTTTCTTAAAGTTTACAGTGAATAATGAAACACTGCTGAACAGTAATGTACTGTTTTTGCAATGGCAGAGATTTTGAGACAAGCTCTATTGAAATCAGACAGCAACTCAGACGCTGGATGTTACTAACCCTTTGTTTATTCTCTCGCTCGGTCGCTCTTTATTCTCACAAAGGAAACAAATTATGCATTTTGTCACAATTGAATTGCGGCTCACTTTCACTTTATGTGGCCAAATAAACGTTCAGTAACTGACAAACTGACAATGCTTGCTTTGCAGGGCTCACAACATGATGTATGTGGTTGGAGTAAAGGAATATGAGTGAGCCTGACTGTCCTCCAAGGTCATAACGAGACTTGGAGGTCATGCAAGTCAGTGCCTTCCAGAAAAAAAAATCCCAAATGATCTGGCAGTAAGAAGCATTTTCAAACTTGGTATGAGGAGAGAGAAAAAAAGATCCAAGTTTTAGCCAGATCTGTTTTCAACAGTAACAGCAGATGTTAAGTCTTTACTTGAAAACTGATTAAATAATTACTGGTGCATATGCTCTGTTTATACTGTACAGAAGACAAGTGTGTCGAGAAGAAAGCCCGTGGAAGGACTAAACTGAGTAGTGACCCCCAGCTAGAGTGTGTTCACCTCAACTGTGCATCATCCTGACCATGAGTCCCCAACTCACCTAACCCCGGAGTGGGGCCATCAATTTCAGGGACTGGCCCTTCATCATCCATTACAGGCAGGGTGAGGAGACTGTGTGTGTGTGCGCCTGCTTATGTGTGTGAAAGCACATGGGTGTGTACACATCAGTAAATCACATGTGATAACTACACATCAATAAATTAAGGCATCAACATGCGGCCCGAGCAGTCGCTGACGGCTCATCAGTTCCTATCATTTAGGAGAGAGTGTGGACTGTGTGTGTGTGTGTGTGTGTGTTAATGCGCGCAGATATAAACAGGCTGAACTCCAGAGCGTACAACATGTGCTTGTGCATGAAAAATGTCTTTCAGTGGCAACATAAAGCAGATCATCCTGTGTGTTTGTGTGTGTGTATGGGCCATTAAAACGTCAATAAATTTACTTCATACCAATACAGAAGGACAAAAACATTTAGGTACGTCGACAAATGGCGTCATGACCATGAAATGGTGAATGATCACCTGTTCTGATATAGTGTTTGACAGGGAGGAACACATCATATCCATATACACCAACGTACACTACAATAAGAACCTCTACTACACTTACACAGAAGTACTTGACACATATTTACAGACAAAGAACAAGGAGCGAGGATAAAGACTGATCCGACATTGACTGACAAAGAGAATGAGGCAGAAACAAAATGAGGAGAGGCAGAGCCAAAGACAGAGAGGAAAGAGACAGAGGAGCGACAAAAACGACCGGCTACAGGAGAGCTTTAGCTACGAGAGAAAAAAAAAAAACAGGTACGAAATTAAGCTTGAAAAAATCCAAGAAAGCCACACAGAAGGAGGGATGAAAGGAAAAAGAAGAAGTCAGCAGGGGAGAGGGTCGTCGGCTGTCAGACAGGTGTTGAAAGCCCCCCGCCCCTCCCACCGTCCCCCTCTCCTGTCGCCTCCAGCCCACACTCCCCAGCCCCTCGCCTCCCCCTCCCTGGCCAAGGGAGTCGACATGGGCCGACGAGATGGTGGAGACGAGAAGAACACACAGCACACACGGATGGAGAGCTGAGCTACTGACCTAGCCTGCGCCCTTAATGGGAACACCTTGCGAGGCTTTCGAGGGTGCATCCTGTCACGAAAGGGGGGGAATAGAAAGGAAAAACCAACAGTCTTTAAAACAGGCAGATTCCATGAAATTCTCTCCAGTGTATCGGCTGTTTATATGCAAATCATATGGCAAGAAATATAAGGGGAATCATAATAAGAGGAAATACAGCCATCTGTCTGCCTGTAATGTCCTGTCTAAGTGCCTCCTGGTCTGGCCAGTGTATGTTTCAGTTGAAGAGGAGTGTACCTACCTGCCCAAAAAGTGTCTGGAGCGCCTGACCTGCCTGTTGTCAGTCTGTCTGCTCAATGTCTCTAATTCAGGCATATTTGTGGCAAAGTTACTGGCTGAGGATTTGTTTGTCTGTCTGATGAGGCCTGTGCGGACGACCAGCGGTTTATTTTAGTCTGTCTGACTGGGTGGGTATCCTGTCCCCTTGTCCTCCCTTATTCTGCCTTAAAAATTGGATGGCCTGGTCTGTCCTCCTGCCTCCATTCCTCATCAGTCTGTTTGCAGGACTATGAAGAGGACATGACTGTCGTCCATCAACACGAACAGATATATCTGGATTCGGAGAGGGCGACTTGCACGCGCTGGCTTGTTATCTGTGCGCCACCGGACAGCACTCTAGGAGAAAAAAGAGGGAAGGCTGTACCTTTGAATGTAGTAAGGCATGGAGGCCCTATATGCTATCATACAGGCCAAGGACTAAGCCTTTAAATCAACTAAGCCTACCTCCCTTCACTAGCAAGTAAAGCTCTCTCTGCAATAAACAGTTTACCGATTAAACATTTAATCTAAAAGAGAGGCCTGTGGGCACTGCGGTGCAACTTATCACCCCTCTTAACCCAAATCTACAGTTATATTGAATTAAGGCAATTTGAAAAGCAGCCTTTTTTGATGAGTATGTGCACAGTGTTGCTGTATGTGTGAGTGTTGTGTTGTGTGTGTGTGTGTGTGTGTGTTTGGGGGGGGGAGAATGGGGAAGGAGGGGTGCAAAAAATCAAGTGTGCATAATCGAAGGCTTAAAATAATTTTATATAAGCTGTTGGAAACAAAACCTACTCGGAAGATTTGACACTGGCATAGCAGTAGCATTCCAAAAAGTTCTGTCCAGGGTTAGTTGATTATTTCTGATCAGGGCAAAAAAAAAAAAAAAAAGGGGGGGCGGACGCTCCAAGCATATCAGTAGATAATTTCCTATAACATTGCAGGCTGCTCTTCGGGTAAATGGGGGTACGGTTGGTCGTGCAGTGATTCGAACGACAAAGGAAGATCTAATGAACAGGTGGATTTTTTCGCCAACCCGGGCGGAGAAAAATCTACCTTCTCCTCCGGTTCAGATTTGGAGCCCCTGACTGCATGTATAATGCCTCCGCTGGCTTCCAACAAGAGGGGCGGGGTGGTGGGGTCGGGGAAACCGCTTCCCAATACCACACATAACACACATCAGTTTTGAAAAAAAAAAAAATTAGAAAAAGAAATCTACCACTAACCAGCAACTGGACCTGGTCGCCCGCCGAACGGGTCGTCTTCTTGCCGCCTGCAAAAAACCGGACTTTGCTGAGAGCCCCCAACAGAAATGCCTCTCGCATGAGAGCGGGGTTTTGCTGGGGCCTGGGCGACGGTTCGAAGTTAGAAGACCCGGTCCGCTGTTCGACTCCCTCGCCTGGCGTTTCCTGCCGGGACTCAGGGAGCTGGCGTACTAGCGGCCATCTCCCCGACCGCAGCGTCTGAAAAACCCGCGAGTCCCTAGTTCGGCGGAGGTCGGATTTGGTGCAGCTTCCGTTGGCGCAAAAAAAAAAGAAAAATAAAAAAAAAAAAAAAGACCAGAGAGTTTAATTGTTGTGCTGTTCAGTCCCGACGAGGTGGGGCGCGGGGGCGGGGGGTTGGTCCAACCAAATGTTCATCCTGATCCAGAAAATCCTCTGAAGCTCCGGCGGCACTCATTGCGCCTTCGGGCAGCATCGCTCTTCAAGGGGTGGGGGAGTGGGAC